ATCTCGGCGCGATATCGAATTCGCGCTTTTATGCACAGTAAAAGGCCACCATGTATTGTTGTAACGCATACGCGCAAACAGCGACCAGATAGTGCGGTGGCACTCACTGCCGTACACAGAGAATCTTGCGAGCATAAATTACATCAAAATCAAAAAAAAGTATTTATTTTCTGATCAGTCACTGCAATGCAGTGTTACAGAGCCAGCGAACATCGAGCATTTCAGTGGCTGGCAATGCCAGCCATTTCAACGGATAGGTCTATTTATCGACAATCAAGTGCACAAGAGATCAATCACAGCTGGCCAAGCGCTAGCAGCATGTGCGAAGCAGATCGACGCATGCCTCAAACTGCAGCTTCTCCTCGATGTTTCGACTTTTGATCGTTGCTTCGTGATTCTGCACAAAGAACACTTCACCATTCTCTTTAGGCACCCAGCCATAACGTCGAGCGTACTCACTCACATGCTTCTCGGAGATTCCACCAAGCAACCGAACGAGCAGCGACTTCTCGATGTTTTGATATGTGACACTGATTACTTGGCATGCATAATTTCGAACGCTTTCCTCGAAGCCTGGCACAGTACGGACAATTTTCGGTATTTCGCCCGGCTGCCGGAACGGTTCGCAAACGTCATCCACCGGCCGATACTCGCCACGCATCAGGCGCCAAAACACAGCGAAATTGCACGACTCGAGCAGTGCTCCGATATCGAAGACTCGTTTCAGCTCCGGTGAGCCCACTCGGCTCGAGTCAATGAGATATTTGGCGAGCGCATAATCACTCCTCGGCGCCATCATCATCGTCTTCAACAGGATCAGCTTCACAATCGCCTCGTTGTACTTGTCCGCATTGAGCTGATACAGCTTTAGCGTGGTCACCAGTATGTCCTTGTCGTACTGGTTCTCCTGCACCATCGCCTCGATACACTTCTCCAGCATCTCCACATTGTTCGGATTGTACCGATTCACGCCAACGATCGCTCGATCCAGCTCCTCCTTCAGCAGCCCGAAAGTTGACATCGCCGTGCTGCTGCAAATCACGTGCTAAAATCACCGAAATCGCTCTCGTTTTCACGCAAAATGAGAGCGCCAGATAACAGCTGCTAAACAAAAGCAAAAGGAGTGGTA